TATGCACATAAACTATCGGTTCTGATTTAGCTTGAAAAAAAAAAAGTGTTTAATGCCTTAATAATTATACATAATACAACTTTTAGCATGGTTGTATCAAAGGCTACGTCATCAAACTCCTGCCTTTGTTTTTGACATAAAAAGCAAGCATAACATACAAATAAAGACATAAAATATTATACATTAAGTACATTTTAAAGAAAGAGACCCACCTCACAGAGCTGCGGTCATCGCCTGTCTGTGGTAGGACTTACCACGATGGAAATATGAATGGTCAAGCTTATCTTCTTAGCAGCTGTAACCTCTTGTCCTCTGTACCATGTGCACAAACAAAATCCTCTTCTTTGAGAGGCAGATCAATTAAAACAACCAATAAAAAGAGTAAAGTTTATGATCTACAATTGTGCTTCTTTTAAACTTAACCTAGGTTTTGGAGATCACTTTATGATGGGACATCTTCACAAAACAGAATTTGTTATATGCTGTAATTTTCTCCTCCTTATCTCTGTGTCTTAATACACACACATTATCACACTTCTTGTGATAATGCATTTCACAAGAAATGGATTATCATTGATAATATACACAGTTTTACGGTTAGTAATCAGAACAAGAGCAGAAAGGGGCCACAAGCAAGAACTTCTGTTTGTTTAAATGGAGGCCCACATTGAAATGCAAAGACTGGTGTTACATGTACATAAGATTTTAGTTTGAAGGTATGTGTATATGTGTTTTGTAGGTTTATGTCATAGTTTATGTTTTATGTTGAGCTCTTTGATGTGAGCTCTTATAAATATTGATTCATTTGATGGTTTGTTTTTCACTTGCAAAAAAAAAAAAAAAAACAGAGCTTTGAAAAAAAATTCAAGCCCCAAAAAGCTGCAGTAATGAACAAGAAGTTCAAACATCATTATAACATTTAAAACCATTACATCAAATAATGAAAATACAAAAAAAAAAAGAAAATATAAATATAAAATTTTGAATTTGCTTTTAACTAAGATCATTTACTAAAGTTTCCTTTCTGGATTTTATATTTTCATAACAAATTCCTCATAACAAAATACACTTCTTGCTTCACTCCAAAGTTTAATATACACCTGTATAAAATCAGTTATAAAAATCAGGCTTCTTGGCGCCATTTTCAACACTAAATTATTTGTTTTTCAGCCAGAGAAGGGAGGGTTAGGATGTGCTCCATTGCATGGTGTCATCGCTTGGTAATGGATCCCGTCTTTAAAATGTGTCCCCTCCTGTCATGAATTTAAGACATTTGTCTTCATTTTTGAGCATCTGGCTCCTAAAATGATCACCAAAGACAATCTAGATTGGTTGCATTAGTATCTAGGAAGCTGTTCACATAAAAGTTGAAGGTTCTATGACTTGTTATCCTTATATGGTTATTCTAAATGTATTATGCAATACAGCAGCATGGATTAAAAAATGGACCAAACTAATAAGGGATTATTTAGCCTTGTCTTTATCTGTAAAAATCAAACTTACCTTAGCAGCTGCTTAGCTGTATTCGATAAAAAAGGTTAGCAGTTTAAACAAGCTGGTCTCAGTGTGGTTTGAAAAAGGCTTTCAACTCTTCTGAGCAGCAGCACTAAGGATTAATATGAAGTTCACATTTATATCATGTTCTTTATTTGTCCTATATTTATTGAATAATATGCTGCCATCAAAAGTTAGTTACAAGGTGTTCTTTTATAAAACAAAATAAACAATATAGGACCTGTTAACTAGTTTTATTGAAAAGATCAATGCAGTCCAACAAAGAGACAGAGTCAAAGTCAACTACATATTTTTCAATATCCTTCTCATTCCTGACTTTGCATATTTGTTCCTCCTTTATGTGGACTATTGTTTATATTCTGTTATAGAGCCATCCTTTATACTGGACAAGCACATTAATATTACATTGTTTTCAGAATTTGTTTTCTCTGTAGTGAGATCAGTTCTAAAGCATCAACTGATTCTGGAAATGTCAGTTATTTTGTCCTTAAGAAAAATATCTTACTTTTAGATTGTAATGTCCCAAAAAATTAAAACATGAAATAGGATACAGTAAGCAACATCCAAGTGTTGCATTCGATTTGCAGCTGAGGCAACATATCTTTCAATATATCTTTGTAAAAAGGCAGGAAAAAAT